TTAAGTAGTAGCCTTTGTGTACATCAAGATTCTCGTGGCAGCATGAACTATAACAATACCAGCATGAGCAGAATCCTTCTCGTTCTATTTGTGGCCAATTTCCCAGAATCCATGCTCTATCTTTTTTACTTTACAAAAGATATGGTTTTGAAACGGAACCCCCCCAAAAAAATTAAAAAACAGAAGTCACAAATCTATTAACATTTTGACCGGCAAAATTGTCAGATATAAAATGAAATGTTTATGTCTCTTGATCTGCACACATTTTGATGTAATGGCACAGACAGGAAGTCGTCTGTATGGATCCACGGTTAGACTAAATATGCTCCGAACTCATAAAGCACTGGACATTCTGGGACATTTTTGCTAGTCAAAGCATGGAGCAATTACAATGGGGTCAGTTCCTCTACAGACTTTGCCTTTCTCTGTCCATGTGCTCTTTTTACCGCCCCCCCCCCCCCCCCCCCCCCACCCCACCCCCACTGTGGGTCGGGGGTATATAAATAGACCCACTACCCCGTTTGTAGGAAGTGAAACCCCTTCAATGACGAAGTGTCGCATTTGGAACCCAACCCTCTGGGATCCGGATGCGACACCTACTTTGGTGTCTTCCTCTTCTCCTTCCTTCTGTCTTACTTGTTCTATCTGTTCTTCTACCGCCGACATCATGTGGGGTAAAACTAGAGGCCACCCATCCCACAGAGTGGGCGCCTCTTTGATCGTGAGGTGCGACCCGTCCGGAGGGAAACCGGGTACCTGGACATTGAGGTGAGATCAGTCTGCGGACTGTCCCTCACCAACGCACCTCTTTGGCCCAGGTTTTCCTTTTAGACCAATCGGTTGGGAGCTGAAACCCCCTCAGTCCCTGGGTCAATCTTGATGGGAGGGTCTTGTAAACCCTCGTGGAGAGTATAGCTATGAGGTAGCCCTGGCAAAGCTCTGGTCATCCGAGCAACGTGTCCCCTTGTTGGGATCGATGGCAGGTGGGGAGCCCCGGAGTCGAAACACCATCAAACTTTCATTTGAAGACCCTTCCCCAGCTCCCAACGTTATGAAAAAGTCTCGGCTCGTGGAAGTGGGTGCGGTCGCCGAGCCGAGCAAACCAACTCCTTCTGAAAAAAAGGACCTCAACGGCTGCCTTTACCCTCCCTCTTCCCTGGGACCTTCCGCGGCTTCCGTACTTGACCACCCGAGGCACCAATGCGCAAAAAAACCCCCACAGATCTTAACTTATTGAAGACTGGAGGTGCCCTAAAACAGGTTCTGGGATACATTCCTACGAATGTTCAGAAACTGTCCCCTCTGGTGAACTCCTCATCAAGTGTGCATCGGATAAAGAACTGGCCAGACCGGAAAAGATCACGACCTTCAAGTATGTTCTTTGTGTGTCCGAGCGACACCAAAACTTGAACCAATCAAAGGGCGTGGTCTGCAGCCATGAGCTGAAGGGCTGCTCCAACAAGAAGATTGTGGCTAACTGCAAGGGTGTGGTCGAAGCCCGCCGAATTACACTTCGGCGGGGGGAGATCATACTTGAAACGAAAACGTCTCTCCCCCAAATCCCCCAGTAGGCTGCCACCCAATTCAGGACTGCAGTCTAGAAACCCCTCTGCCTCCCCGCAAGGAGGAATGGCAGTGTTTCTTCGAAGCCGGCGCCTGCGTGCTCCAAAATTTAAAAAAACCTTCATAATGGCGGTCGTGTATTGAAATGTCGGCGGACTCCGACCTTCCTTTGCCGAATTTCAACACTTACCGGCCACACGGTGCCCACTTGGAGCCTGCATCCAGGACACAAAGTTCGCCCCGGCTTCAACCATAGACTTAAGAGGATTTACTGCGTATTATTACGTTCACACGGAGAACCAGATTGCTTCGGGAGGAACCACCATCTACACTTACAACAACGCACTTCACAGACAAGTACATCTTTGGACGACCCTCCAGACTATAGCGTACGGGTCACCCTGCACAGACCAATCATGATCTGCTCAGTTTATATCTCACCAAATTACCCCCTAAAAATAACTCAACCAAATGATTTAAAGCTCCAGCTCCCATAAAACCCTGTATTTTGCTAGGTGATTGTAATACTCATAGCCCCCTTTGGGGAGACAAACCCACAGACCTAAAAGGAAAAAATAATAGAAGACTTTTTATTTCAAAATAGCATCTACCTCTTAAATGATAGGTCCCCAGCTTACAGAAACAGATCCACTTTTGGCACTTCATCCCTTGACCTCACCTTTGTACCACTGACCTAGTCCCTGGTCTCGAGTGGTCTGGTGCTGGATGACTGCATGGACCATTTCTCAAAACTTTTAAAAAACAATAGCCTCCAAAACGACCTGATCCCAGAACGCTTCAATTTTTAAAAAGCCATTGAATGTTCCCAGGTTCTGAATCCCACTTTCGACCTCAACTACAACAAATTCTATGAAACACTTCCAGAAATGTGTCACAAATGCATATCAAGAACATCTCCAAAACCC